AGACCCGCCTGGGCAGCAAGACCTCATCTATACAATAAATCAAAAAATCAGCCGGGTGTGGTAGTGCATGCCTGTAATTACAGCTACTTGGAAGGCTGAGGTGGAAGGATCACCGGAGCCCAGCAGGTCGAGGCTGCGGTGGCTGGGAGCGGCCACTGCACTCCAGTCTGGGCCACAGAGTGAGACTCCAACTCAAAAAAAAAAAAAAGTTAAACAAAAACAAAATAAAAATAGCAAATCAAGCTCCTTCTACATAGTTTTGTGTCCTGCTTTTAAAAAAAAGTACTAGATTTCCTTTGGTCATCAGTTTTTGAAAATACTGATTCTAAATGGCTACACAGCATTTCAAAAGCATGGGTAAACTCTGGCCTAAACATTTATCATCTTTTGTGCACTGTGAAAATTTTGACAGGCCTACAACTTCACAAGCACATTTTATAGCAAGGTCCAAGGATATAAAACAGTAGTAAGAGTGGTATCAATCCACAGCGGGCACTTAAACATTCAGAGAAAGGAAGTCTGCAGAAAGTAGCAAGTGAAGAGCTACAAAAACATGCATAGCCCTCACATAATGGCACATTGGTCTCCTGGAGGATAAGGCCACACTAGGGTGTCCACATACACCAACCCAAACACCAAATTAACAGCAGCGACAATGGTAAAATCCTTGAGGAAAGTCCAGAGATCCTAGGAGGTACAGAAATGTGTGCAAGTCACATGTGACCAGTCTCAGGCCTCCCCAGAGCCCCTATCAGGCACAGGTACTTGAACACACCTCTGTGAGTCAATGCAAGGCTGTGTTCAGTGAGATGCTAACAAAAGTATTAACAAGCATTTGTTTGATGAGGACCAAAGAAACAAGAACCATTTAGGGAAATCCTTTTACCTGTCTTCTTTTTGCTGACTGGTTTTTTCCAAATCACCCCATTTTCAGCTGTCTCTTCTTCCCAGAGGTTGCTATCACCTGCTCTCATCTTCTGTTCTTCCACTGTCTCTTCAGGCACAAAAGGAGACTGATCGACAATGGCTTCAAAAACGCCCCTGGCTATGGACTGCACCAGGGTATGACTGAGGGCAGAAGCACAGCAGCAAGGATGTGATTAGGACACGTGGTCTGATCTTCCTGCTGAAGGGGTGCCGAGGAAGTTTTGCACACACCACTGTGGTCTGCCGAGTGCCTGGTACAGCCCTCAGTGGGTCAGCAAGCATGTGTCCCTAACAATGCTTGTGTGGTCAACTGCAGTTGTAGGAATAGCTTCCTGCCACCTGACAGAGGTGTGGGATGCATGGCAGACAGAACTCTGGGTGTGGGAGAACATTCCTGGAATGACTGGGTTAAACCCTGAAGCTTGAAGAGTCAAATCATTGCTCAAAGCTTCCAATGACTTTTTCATGGGAATTAAAACTTCAGCTGTTCTTAGCGCTGGGTAATCATCCTAGGTGTGCCGCATCATGCTTCTCAACAGAAAACAACTCCCCGCCTTAACTAAGCACCAAGTGAAGCAGAAAAACCAAACATGCAAATCACTTACTCCTTAGTCTTGGCAGCAATTTTGCAGAATGGATCAATAAACTTGAGATTCTGATCAGCTAAAAGCTGTAATTTAGAAATAAAATGGGAAAAAAAATGAGAAACAAAGATCCCTTTCCTCTCCTGACATGTCCTTGAAAAAGGAGCCATTTGCATTTTTCACATAGGTTGAGTCAGACTGAGTAATACATGTCTCACACAGCCCAAAAGCACCCCCAAGGCCAGCAAAGAAGCCTGGAGCCAGGCTCAAGATCAAGGACACCCTCTAGCCACGTGATATCTTAGTGTAGTGGCTGAGAGTGCTGCTCTATATGCCCAACATACAGAACATACACACGATCCCTCCTCCACAAGAGATGCCACGGGAACACCACCTCTGAAGGTGGGAGATGGAAGAATTGCTGTTTTAAACATGACAGTTATATTTTCTTTTAATGAAAGAAATATATGTTCCCTGCAGAGCACTTGTGAAACAAAAACAATTTGCTCATATTGCCAATTCAAAGAATCATTTGTATACTAAAAAATGTACATTTTCTTTTCAGTCTTTTGTCTATTTAAATAGAGTACATACCTTTAAAAGTCAAGCTATTCGTATATCTTTACTACTGCTTTAAAGAGTCAATAGCTCCTGAGAATTTCTCCATGTAACTGAATTCTTTCCTGGACTCTGTACGCTTCTTTCAATTCTGTTTTACAAGTAAGACTGCCACATGCATCCTCAGTGCATAAACCTCTGTATACATGTCGCATGAGCTGCTGAGGACACACTCCCGGATGGGGCTGAAACAATCTCTGCTGCTGTTGTCACTGGTCTCACGAAGTGCCACCCACAGCATTTTGCTGGCCACTGTGGGTGCCCTGTGGCCCCCTTGCCCTGCAAACAGCCGGGCTGCTGCTTGCTTACCTCCTTCCCCCCAACCTTGGAGAGCTCATCCAGGTAAATATCAATGAAGTGGAATCTCACTCCATTAGGAGACTGACTCTCAGGACACAGGATCTCCTTCATCAGGACATCTAGAAAAGCCTTGATTCGGCTAAAGAAAAAAACACACGGTGTTATTAACTTCTCTCTCCCCTGAGAGAAAACAAAAATGTTCAGTCTAATGCCTACCCTGCACAACAATCAAGCAAGGCTTAAATACTTGTATAAGAAAAAAAGCAGTCACTTAAATCAATACAAAATGTTAACTGTCATATGGCTTAACTATTTTATGCCCCTCTGCTGTATTTTGGGTTCTCTATGGATAAGGACATTTTTGCTTCTCAAAGTGCTCTTCAGAGTAGGAGGCACAACCAGGTAATTCCTATTTGTTGATTGAAAAGCTTGAAAACCTCCCTATTACTTATAAGTTTTAAGGCCACCAAATGCAAACTCTAACAATTTACCAACCTTTCTTCCCAGCCATTTCGCTTCAGAACTTCAAAGGATTGCCTCAGGACCAGACGAATGAGCTGAAGATAGTTTTTGTTACAAAAGAAAAAGCAAAAAAATGTCAATCAGCTTAGCAGGATGAAGAGACCAGTGAAACTGGTGTGGCCTGGATCCCAAATGTGAAAAAATATCCACAATAATTCTATTTAACTTCTAGATAACAAAACATATTCACTAATGGTCCCCAAACTCATCTTCAGCAGCAGAAAGAGCCAGAACAGAGAAGCTTTCCAGTACAAACTCAAATTCTAATGACCGCATCACCTTCCATCACACTAAGCCCAGAGCTTGTTTCGCGTCACAAATGAATCTTTCCTTGGTTTTTAAGTTAAAGGCCATCTTTTCTTCACAAGAGCTTTTGGAGTAAGTGTGGATGAAGCTTGCAGCTCTTACCATGTAGTATTTATCAAGGCACAGCCTGTCGATTCCCTTCCATTCTCGGTTCATGGTTTGCCAAAAGGTCTGAATGAACAGGTGTTCTGTAGTAAACAAAAGGCTCTGAATGCTTGCTTCCACATTACATATTACCACATAGCAAGAAAATAATAAAGAGAAGCAAATTCATATTATTTATTATTTACTTTTCTCAAGAACTCTGGGGCAACTAGAAAATTTGGCCAAGAAGTTAATATGCTCAATAATTTTACATTCAAATAAAAACATATGACTATAACAACAGAAAAGCTGGCAATATCTTAATACTCCATTAGAATACTCTCTGAAGCACTTTATCCACTGCAGAGTCATGTTTCTCTTAAAATCAAAATCCCAATCCATTCTAGTGACCCTCCCCACTGCACTGAACCATTAACGTTGATGAATACTTCTACGATCCAAGGTAGAAACTCTGCTGTTGAGCCGGGTTCGGTGGCTCAGCCTGTAATCCCGTGCCTTTGGGAGGCTGAGGTGAGTGGATTGCCTGAGCCTGTGGGTTCGAGACCCACGTGGGCAACTTGGCGAGACCTCATCTCTACAATAAATCAAAAAATCAGCCGGGCGTGGTAGCGCGTGCCTGTAATTCCAGCTACTCAGAAGGCTGAGGTGGAAGGATCGCCGGAGCCCAGCAGGTCGAGGCTGCGGTGGCCGGGAGCAGCCACTGCACTCCAGTCTGGGCCTCAGAGTGAGACTCCAACTCAAAAAAAAAAGAAAAAAAAAAGGAAACTCTGCTGTTATGTCTGACGTTAGGTGTCACCTGAGAGAGCTACAGCACAAAATAATCTATTTTTCTCTTCTGAGCCACAAATCCAGCATTTTTTCATCAAAAAATAATTTTGTTGATTTCTTTTTTTGGCATCTTTTTGTACAATTTTTTCTTGGTCTTTGCAAATCTGTACTATGTATCATATGTAGGATTTTGTTCATTATGAGTCAGCTAATATTCAGGGAGTCATTGGAGAGTTATTAAAGTCATCAGGATGATTTTCTGAGAGTGCTATACAGAACAAACCAATCCTGCCTTCTTTTTCTTCCTTTGTAAATAATCAAAGCCTGACACAGAAATACCTTAATTTCTCCCTCTGGTCTTTTCTTTTTGGTAAAGAGGAGTTACTTTATGGTCTATTTCCAGTGATATCCTCTACTTATTTGTTACTAGAGATGGCTCTAATCTTGGGGATAAACCTGGCATCCAGGTTACTGGACATAAGGCTATCCAGCCTTTAAAGTGTTGAAGTAACTCAGAATTTGGAGGTTCTGGAGGCTTGTTATTTCAAAAAATATATATATTTTTTAAAACTTTGAGATGTCAAATATGATTCTCTATAACATACTTCACCCTCTGGCCAAGTCAATGGTCAAGTTTATCACAGTTTTCTAAAACAGGAACAGTTTGTTGCCTGACATCTACACAAGATTCGCCTAGGTTTATATTAAACTAGCAGACCAGAAAACAGAAAATTTGAAGGAAGGAGAAGAAACAATTAACTAGATTTCCTAGGCAAGTAACCAAAGATGATGAACAAGGAAGTTTTGAAAGTCATGAAAATATCAGGACTTACGAGCCTCTGAGTTGTTAACAACATGGATGAGTTGGGAAATAGTGTTTGCTAGCTCCTCCTGCAAAGGTGGGATTAGGGAGAAACACTGGGTTATTATGTGGCAACAATGAGATGACAGCATCACGGCCTGCTTCCTCCTCCCTCCTCTGCTGGTGGAAAAGTCTGTGCCTCTTCTCTCAATGATACTTCTACCAAGAAGTATGCATTTGAAGATCTGAATTGTATCAAATGTGAAATTTCCAATTTCAGCGGACTATTATGCTAACTTGATATGTCTCTGAGAATTGTTTAAGTTGCATGTTTTAAAAAGCATTTCTAGTTACCAGTGCAAATGAACTACAGAAGAAACAGAGTAGTTGTCCATTCCTGGCCTGAAAACTATGACCTCAATTGAGAGTCTGGCAAAATCCCCCACATAAACACAAACACAGCAGGGATGACTCAACGGTAGTTAGACCCTGGGGATGCTTACTCCATGGTGTCAGGAAATCCTCCACCTGTCTTGGAAAACAAAGGTACACAGCACCCTGCCAGGCTCTGTTCTGGGCAGAAGTGCCCTTGGAAAAGCATGCCCTGCTGAAATGCAGCAGGCTAGCTTCTGGGGAGAAGTCTGTTTGGCAAACATCAACAGAAGATTTTGTTTATGAAAAGAATGCTCCTTGGTGTCCCAGTCACATTGCACCTCACCTCAGTTTTCCTCATCTTGAAACGAGCTTCCTGTTCATTGGTTTTCTTCCTCCACTGAAGCTGTTGGTTATTACTTTGGAATGTAATATAAAAATATTTTGCCCAGCTATCCTACTCAAAATATGTTCAGCAGAGTAAAAATAATAAGTCAAAGACAAGTTACCATGTGGTTGGGAGAAGTGGCAAGGCAGAATGTTAAAACTCAGAGAGGAAGCATCTACCCATGAAGACTTACAGACACCAGAGGTTTGCAAATGGCTCTCCTCAGGGTTTATTCTGCTGCTTCTACCAAGGCAGATCAGATCTGCTTTCGTGTGTCGGAACAAAGCTTCTTAAAGGGTGAAGAGCACTTCTGGCTTTGTGCACTTCTGGCTTTGTTCTGGAGGCGACTCAGCAGCCTAGCCCAGGGCTGAAGATTCACAGGCACATCTCTACAACTGTGCAGTTCCCCCCGGGCTTTCTGGTCACCAGGGCTTTTGCTGACAGCTTGGTTGCACACTCTGCAGAGCCTGAGGCCCAGCAAGGGGGCTGCCTGGTCCTGGGTCACACAGGGCCTCACACTTGTATTCTGTCACGCCGTTATTGACCATGAATAATAAACTTAACAGATGGGACAGAAACTTTAAGTAATGGAAAACCTACCAAGGAACCTACATAATTGTGAAAAAGAAATAATAAATTGACAATTTATGCACATTTTTCCTTTTATGTGAAAAGATAATTCACCTAAATGCTTTGACACTGCATCCCTTTCTTTGTGGACGAGAGGTGAGAAAATAACTCCTTAAAGCATTGATTTTCAGTTTCTTTAGGTATATTACGGGACTCAGAGAGTGAAAATGACCAAGTCTCTTATCTGTACATGGCAAAAAACCAGGACTATGACAAAGGGAGCTGTATATTACCTGTAGAAGGGGTTCATTCTGTACCCACATGCAATAAAAGAGTCCTTTCCATATTTTCAGAAGTTCTTCTTGACTGAAACCTCCTAGAAGGCAAAATAGCACAAAAACCTTATTTCAGAGTCCATACATTTCCTTTCTTAAAATTTAGAACTGCCTCAGAGGTGGTGAAGATACCACATACATTTTAATTCTCTTTTATCTGCAACTGTCTTTTTAAAAATTTGAAGCACACATTTCCTTACTGTTACAAAATGAACATATATATATAATAAATTACTACTTTATCAGCTACAGGGCAGGGGGTAGTGGTGGTGTGACCTCATCATCCCAGTATCATGAGGAAGCAAACGTCATCACAACAAAAAATTAACGAAAAAAGTGGTCACATAAAATGAGTTCCCTCCCAAGTGCTCCCCGCTTAAAACTTGCATCTGTTGGGCACACATACATTTTCACTGTTCTTGAGAAATAAGAATCCTACAAAAGATGTAAGATTTGCTCAAGTCATATGAAACCCCCAGCAACTGGCAGACCCATACCCAAGGAACAGAAAGCTAGCCAGGCTGAGGATACAGGGGGCTCCAAAGGTAGACCTGAAAGCCAAAGGACTCAGAAAGGCCTAGGGGAAATTGACACAGCTTTGCAATATTTTTGCAAAAATGACCCTTTTAAGGATCCTGCTACGAGGTCAAAAGATTGCCTCCCAATCTCCCACCCTGTAACCGTTATCATTTCCTGAGCAATTTTAGTCACTGGGTTGGCCTTGTTCTCACTTTAGATACTTGAGGGCTCCACCTCTTCCTTTATAATCTATGACTAAACCAGCAGTCTCATTCAGCCTTGCATCTCCCAGCTCGACCCCAGGTGTCATGAGATATTTGTTGAAGGGCATAAGGAATCCCAAAATGATAAAATAGGTGAACATTCTTGGAATTTCCAAACCCATGGACCATTAAATCAAAAAGCAAGCGAAATCCTCAAGTCTTAAGGCATGTTACAAAAGGTCTTTATTCATATTTTACTAGGAGTTATTAGGAGAAATCTTTTGGAGCAGCAACGTAGAATAAATTAGATGAATGCAAGCCAGTAAATACTGGAACCAATGGGATCTCAATGCTCTAAAAGATGATTAAAAAGTGACAAAAGACCTCTTTTGATGGACCAAAGTTTATTTAGTGTACTCAAATTGAATTTATCCTTTTTTTTTTTTTGATCTGGAGTCTCACTCTGTCACCCAGACTGGAGTGCAGTGACACGCTCATGGTCACTGTAGCCTTGACCTGCTGGGCTTAGTCGATCCTTCAGCCTCCGCCTTCCAAGTAGCTTAAGTACAGACGCACATCACCACGCCTGCTAGTTTTTGTGATTTACTGTAGAGACGAGGTCTCACCAAGTTGCCCAGGCTGGTCTCAAACTCCCGGACTCAGGCAATCCTCTAGCCTCAGCCTCCCAAAGTGCTGAGATTACGGGCTGAGCCACCAAACTGGGCCCAAATTTATCCTTTTTTTATAGGCACTGATATCCAAGTTACTAAAGACCTGTTTCCTATCAACAACTTCATAATGGTACATTTTGATTCTTTTGTGAGTGTCCTGCTTAAAACCAAGATATCAGAAACTATAGTAAAATTACTTTACAGAAGTACATTTGCTTTAGAGTGGGGCAGGTGATGTACCAACTGGTTTTCCTCCTCCTTGTTACAAACAAGTCATGTCTGGGGAACTTTATATGAATAACATAAGTATGGTATGAGCAGTAAGTCCCACCAGAGCCGGGCCAATTGCAGTCATGATTGCAGTAACTTTTTTGGTCACAGTGACCCACACTTAAATTCAATTATGTTCAAACACTGCATATAACCCGGGTGAATTAAAAGGGGCTAGGCAAGGATCATCAACAGCTGCTAAACACTAGGTGAAAAAACACTGGCCAAGTGTGGTGGTTTCCACACATAATCATAGCACTTTGGGAGGTGAAGCAGGAGGACTGTCTGAGGCCAGGGGTGTAAGGCCAGCCTGGGCAACACAGTGAGACCTCTCTACACACACATACACACACACACACACACACACACACACACACACACACACACAAATAGTCAGGTGCAGTGGCATGCACCTGTAGTCCCAGTTACTCAGGAGGCTGAGAGAGGAAGACAACTTGAGCCCACGAGGTCAAGGCTGCAGTAAGCCATAACTGCACCACTGCACTTCAGCCTGGGTGACAGAGCAACATCTTGTCTCTTAGAAAAACAGGCCGGGTGCAGTGGCTCAGTCTGTAATCCCAGCACTTTGGGAGGCCAAGGAGAGAGGATTGCCTGAGCCCAGGGGTTTGAGACCAACCTGGGCAACTAGGTGAGACCTCATCTCTACAATAAATCCCCCTCCACCCCCCAAAAAACTAGCGGTGTGGTGGCATGTGTCAGTAGTTCCAACTACTTGGAAGGCTGTGGCAGAAGGCTCACCTAAGCCTAGCAGGTCAAGGCTGCAGAGCCATGAGCTGCCACTGCACTCCAGCCTGGGTGACAAGAATGAGACTCCAACTCAAAAAACAAGAACAAAAACACAAACAAAAATAAAAATAAAAAAAAAGTCTGGGCACGGTGGCTCATGCCTGTAATTCCAGCACTTTGGGAGGTGGAGGCAAGAGGATTGCCTGAACCCAAGGGCTCAAGACCAGCCAGGGCAACTTGGTGAGACCTCGTCTCTACAATAAATCAAAAAATTAGCAGGGCATGGTGGCATGTGCTTGTAGTTCCAATGACTTGGAAGGTTTAGGTGGAAGGATTGCCTGAGTCCAGCAGGTCGAGGCTGCTATGGCCATGGGCATGCCATTGCACCCCAGTCTGAGTAACAGAGTGAGACTCTGTCCCCAAAAATAAAAAAGCAAAATAAAAAAGAAAAGATATGGAGAAACTTTAAGTTGAGTGGGTCAGACTAACAGCATCTAAACCCATTGATCCATCATTAACCTGCACAGACAACTGCTCATCATATGCTGGAGTGATACAGTAGGAAGAACACAGTACCAACCTGTGGTACTTTATTTTTGCAAAAATAAAGTAAAAACGCTCTCAAGTGTGTCAAAGCTTAGCCATTAATACTAATTGACAAGAAATACAAGTGACAGAGGTACATGTTAAATGACACAATGAGGTGCAGTCAGAACAATGCTGAATGTGCAAAACTCTACAGGACAAATGATTCATGTCCTCTAATAAACAAACTGCGTAGGACAACAGGTGGGTAAGATGAATTCTTGATAATTACCCAGCTTCAAGTATTCCTTTATAGAGGTGCAAACAGACTAAGACAATAATGTAACTAGAAAGGCAGAATAATTTTTATCAACTTAAAAGCAAAAAGAGGACTTAAAGGACCCAGGTTACCACATGAGTTCAGGTATCAGGTATTCCTTGTTCTTGCCGAGTAGCTACACTGTTATTTCCCTCTAAGCTCTCCATCTCTAAGTAGGGAAAGGAGGGAGGCTGTGGTCTGGGAGGTGGCAGCAATTTGGGCTTCTGCCAAATCAGCAGGAATTTCTTGGCCACAGGATGGGTTCAAGAATGGACAAGTGGCTGGGCACTGTGGCTCACATTAGTAACCCCAGCTCTTTGGGAGGCCAAGGTGGGAGTATTGCTACGGGCAACAAAGTGAGACCTGGTCTCTTTAAAAATTTAAAAATTAGCTGGGCATGGTGGTGCATGCTTGAGGTCCCAGCTACTCAAGAGGCTGAGGTGGAAGGATCACTTGAATCCAGGAGGTAGAGGTTACAGTGAGCTATCCACTGTGGCCACTGCATTCCTGCCTGGGTGACAAAGGGAGACTCTGTCAACGATGACAACAACAACAACAACAAGAAAGGACAAACAACACAGCAATGCTCAGGTTTTTAGGAAATCCCTAGGGCTCTCCTCTGACCTTAAAGAGAAAACACAGTTTGCAACTGCTTCAGTCATTTCGCCACATGAGGGAGGCCTATCTGAGAATGGAGACAGTATCTGGGCAGCAGTTTGTAAGCAGTGAAAAACTGGGTTCTGTTGCCAGCAGTTGAGCTCCTGCACAAAACTGAGTTTCGTTTCCCCCTTCAAACTAGTGTGGCGTGGATATTCTGTCAAATTGCAATCGAAAAAGAGTCTTAGTAAAAACTCATTTTTATTGCAAAGACCTCATATATTATCATCAAAGTTACACAGTCATTGAGTGTGCTTCACTCACTGCCTCCAAATCCCAGTCTCTTCCCCAGAAGGACTGCTGCTACCTGTGTGATATGCCTCTTTCTAGATTTTCTCCATGCATTAACAGTGCAGAAAAGCACAGCTCAGTGTGTATGTGTGAACTAAATGGCATCATACTCTACTCTGGCCTTTCTCATTTAAACACAACATAGTGTATGTTTATCTGCAGCTTGTTCTTAAACGCACAATAAGTGTGCCAAGCCAACTGTGAGAGTGTGATATGCCCAGGATCTCTGGACAACCCGTGCCTATTACAGACAAATGTAGACTATGACAAGCCATAGTGACATCCATAAGGGGAAAGAGTAGATTTTGAGAGAGTGACAACAAATTCTGGACAGTGGGCAGGAAAGGGAGCTGGATGAAAAAAACATATTCTCACTGTCTCATTTTTTTGAGTTGGATCTCTATCACTCAGGCTGCAGAGCAGTAGCACACTCACGGCCACTGCAGCCTCGACCTGCTGAGCTCAGGTGATCCTTCTGCCTCAGCCTTCCAGTAGCTGGTACTACAGGTGTGTGCCACCACACCTGCCTAATTTTTTTGATTTATTATAGAGACGAGGTCTCACGATGTTGTCCAGGCTGGTCTTGAACCTCTGGACTCAGGCAATCCTCTCCTCTCACTTGAGAGGGTTTTTACTTTATGTCTTCTTGGGGCTAAATTTCTTAATACAACCAAGTTTGTAACAACAAGACAATATAAATTTAGTTCCTTTTCTTTCTTTCTTTTTTTGAATTGGAGTCTCACTCTGTCACCCACACTGAAGTACAGTGGCATGATCATCGCTTGCTACATCCCTGACCTCCTGAGCTCAATCAATTCCCCTGCCTTTGCCTCCCAAGTAGTGGAACTACTGGGGTGCACCACCACACATGGCTAATATTTTGAATTTTTAGTAGAGACAAGGTCTCTCACTTTGGCCTCCCCAAGTGTTAGGATTACAGGCGTGAGCCACTGCACCCAGCCAGGTGTAGTTATTTCAGAACAAATGGGTTGAACATGAAAATGAGACAAGTGGACATATTAATACCAATTAGTTTTAAAATGAGCATATTCAATAGCTACTCTTACCACAAAATGAGCATGGGAACCATTTTAGATGGGAGTAAAGTGTTATTCTCTAACCTACCACAGTGTGAAAACATTCACAACTCCTGTTTATTCTAATTTAGGAACAGAGAAGCCTAATCCCATCAGTATGAAAAAAAACACTTCTCCCATCACCTACACTGTATCTGAGATATCAAAATAGCTACAAAATATGTAGCTATTTTACATGTCACCAAAAAGAAAGCAATGATACAAATGAACCTGTCACAAGGTTGATTTTAAGATGTACCCAATTTTAGTAGATTTTTTTTTGTTTGTTTTATTAATCATTATTTTTTATTATGGTTTTGTGGGGTACAGTTAAGGGTTAGGTGTACAATTACGTTTCATTCAGGCACCCTGTTGATAAGAGGTGTTTTCCCATCCCCAGATAGATATTTACTACTGTTAATCCCATTCCCCCCCCATAGTTTCCCAGTACTGTCAGTCATTTTCTTATAGTATTACATTGGATGTTCAAGTCCATTATATGAGTGAGATTAGTAGATGTTAAATGTTTAAAGGTGCGGAATGGATATGATAGGCAGAGACTGTCTATTTTGTTCACTGCTGTATTCCCAGTACCAAGAATAGAGTACAAAATAATAACAGGTGCTCTATAAATATTTGCTGAATATATGAATGAATGAACAAAAACCAGGGACAGTGATCATTTTGCGATTGTGAGTACTCAACTTGAACAGGAAAGCATGAGAATAATATTCTGTTAAACAGTACAAATATTTCCAATTTATTTTTAAGATCACAAGCCTACCTATTTATGTTGCTGATGGACAGCTACCATCTCAGATTTCCTATATGATGCCTAAGAACAAGATGCAAACAAATTTGAGCCTATCACCGAGAGGCAAATGTTAGGCCAAGTTGTTTACAAAATTGTGTTCTATTTTGACGGGGCATAGCTGTGCAGATCTTGTTTTTTCTTGTCCCACTATCACTCACTGTGACACTCACTCTGCAGTTATTCTCTGAAGGCCCACTGTACGCCATGCAATGCAGATCTGGTGGTAAACAAGAGGTATAAGACCAGTAATTCTGGGTGTGATGGGCGCTAACCAGGTAGGACCCTGGGGCACTGGCATGAACTGACCGTCCTCAGGCCCCTAAATCAGCTCAGCATTTGCAGATCCTGGGCCTACTCACCATAGGTTCTGTCTAGACCACCTTGGCTCCATATGTACCGCATCTTGTGTCCTGTTTTTGTACATGGCCAGGCCCTGATATGGCTGGATGTACTCCCACTTCCAGCTAAGAAAACAGATGGAAGTGTTTTGAGAGGAGAATGACATACTAACAAATAATTAAGAAGCAATATAGCTAAGTGCTACAATAGAGACATACTGGATGTTTTAGAATCCTAGAGGAATGGGGGTGAGATGCCAGGGAAAGCTTTCTGGAGGAAGTGATACTGAACTGAATGATAAAGTGGAGAAAGGGTGGAATTCTCTGCAAAGAGAGCAGGAGAAGGAAAGGCAAAGAGGTGAGAAATGGTATGTTGTACACCAGGATGGTGGAGCATGAATCAGTCAGGCAGGAGCTGAGGCAGGAAGAGTAGCTGAGGGCCAATCATGACCTGTAGACACTGAATTTCAAGGAAGGTGGCAATGTGTAATCAGATTTGTTTTAGGAAGATGACTCTGGGCTGGTTTGTGAAGGACAGATTCAAGGGGGACACATTTGGAGTTAAGGAGATCAGTTAGGAAGTGAGCAGATGCAGAAGCCCAATTGAAATAAAGAGGGCTGTGGTCAGAGCAGAGTATTTCAGGAGGTGAGGGAGGTAGGAATAAGAAAAACTGGATGTGGCCCAGGGGTAGAGGATGAGGAGGAGAGGGGAGTCCAGGACATTCCCATGTGTCCACGGCAGGAATTCACAACCCCATAAAGAAAACACAGGTGGCAGAAAAGCAGCAGTGGAAGAGAAAAGGTTATGGGGGGAGAACAGTGGATCACTTTTTGGCATTCTGAATGGAGATGGCCAGGCTGGCAGGGTACATCTAAGCTGAAAGTAGGAAAGGGCTGGGCCAGGTATACCATACATACTCAGGAGCCATCAGTATGTATGGTATACCTGGAAGTGTGAGAGTGAATGAACTCTCCTAGGGAAATCCCTAACAGAACCAAAGTCAGAAGCATTGGCCTTTGTTCCTCTTTCTATCAGACTCCCCACAAAAGTGTATTTTCTTTTTTGGGAGGTAGTCTTTTGTGATTTCTTTTCAAAATAAAACAAACTGAGGATGTCAGTAATGAGGGAGACAGTATCTATACTTTAAGCAGATTCTAAATGTAGTCACATCAGCAGCAACTAAATCAAACTTTATCTTGGTGCAACATAAACTTCTATTGCACACTGTAGTTCATTTCTTATACACTCACTCAAGAGTTTACAGAAGGCCAGGAGTGGTGGCTCACGCCTATAATTCCAGTACTTTGGGAGGCTGAGGTGAGAGGATTGCCTGAGCCCACGGGATCCAGACCAGCCTGGGCAACTTGGCGAGACCTCATCCTTACAATAAATTAAAAAAAAAAAAAAATTAGCTGGGTATGGTGGCATGTGCCTGTAGTTCCAGCTACTTGGAAGGCTGAGGTGGAAGGATCACCTAAGCCCAATAGATCCAGGCTGTGGTGGCCCTGAGCATGCCACTGCACTCCAGCCTGGACTACAAAGTGAGACTTCAACTCAAAAAAAAATACTTTATAGAACATATTTAAGATCAGGTCAATGAAATCCTTTAATGGTACCAACATTAAGATCCAAATCACATAGCCCCATGTGATCTGGCCACTGTCTACCTTCCAATTTCATCTCATAACACCCTTCCCCTCCCCAGCTTACCCATCTTCCAAACAACCCTAGGGCGTGCTAAGTTCTTTCCTGTCTCTGCACGGCCGGCCGACATCCTGTGGTTTGCTCAAATCTCAGTTGAACATCACCCCAGAGAGGCCTTCCTAGAACGGCCCATCGAGAGAAGCTCCTTCCTTCACTTTTTTTCGGTTACCTTGTTTTCATTTCCTGTACTGCACAAGCTTTACTTGTACTGTTCAAGCTTTAGTACTACAAGTTCCCCGAGGGTAGGGATTTTGTCTGTGTTCTCTCCTGTATACCCAGCACTAAACGGCGTCGCTCAAAGGAGTCAGTAAGAACGCAAGAGCAAATCAAGGTGCAGGCTAGGGAATCGGACAGATCTGGGTATACACTCAGTTTCACCGTTTACTGAGACTTTTACAAACAGCCGAACCCTCTCGGCCCCAACTGTAAAAAGGCGCTAGGCACGGCAGGAAGCGGTTCCCACAGCGCTGACACACAGAAGCACACGCTGGGTGTCACGAGTCACTGCCTGACAACGAGGGGAAGCCGCGTTCCCTCTCCTGGCAGGCCCGGGGTGGGCGGCCCCCGCCCGCCATGTGGCGCAGCTGACCGTCGTCGGGCGCCCACCTGTCTCCCTCTGGGTCTTCACGCTGATGTACTGGCGCAGCTTCTTCACTGCCCGATCCCGGACTCCCTTCTCGTTGGACGCCAGCCGTTGAGCAAACTGGATCTCGGCCGGCTGCATGGCGGGGGCCATCG